AGCAGGAAGACCACAACCAGAAAGGCAAAATCTTTTGCATATATCAGATAAGAAAACGAGGTTTAGTCTCCATAAATTTTCGACCTGAACACATGAAGAACCTGTTTTACTTTTGTCTGCTTGGCCAATACTTTACCAGACAGGACGAGTAGACTAATGATCATAGAATTCAGAACCATAAAACTGTATGCTACATACTAAAACCTTCAGTTTCGGAACACATACAAAATCTTGCATCCCACGGCTCTTTCACTATTTGATGGAACAAAAACTCTTACATTACAAAAGGATATGGACGAAAGATTTCACTCCGTCCAAAAAAGATTACTCCTTTGGATCAACGTGAAAGCCTAACTACATTGAACATCTATTTCCATTCAGCCCCAAGAGTGATTACCAAACAAGAATCACAAAATAAGACAGCAGAGGAAATCAATCACTGCACACTCAGCCTATTTTCTGGGCCCTTTTCTTTTCTTTTTTCCTTCAAGAGTGTGAGAAATGGTCTCTCTATAGTTTCCATAATTCCAACTTTGATAACACAACAGCTCATCACTTCAATGCAATTCAAAGTAACGTGAAGATAAAGCGATTCCCTTTAGTTCCTTGACTTGAACTCTTTAATATTCAAATTTTCAACAAAAGATAGGAATTTTACCCGATGATTCCACCAATGCAGTCATAGAACTGTTCAACATCTTCCAGGAACTTCAAGAACTTCCTCAAACGACCAACCTCTTCGGCACTTAGGACCACACCATGTTCTCTTCTAGCCTCGACGCCATTGCTGTTAATGTCGAATCTCTCTATCATCTCCACCAACGCGTAAAGCGCGTTCTTCACCGAACTTCTCACCGAATACTCCTCCGCTTCCCCGAACGCCTCCTCGTACCCGAGAGAAAGCGCGTGTTCTTGCCCCGCCGCGACCAAACACTTGGCGAGGAACATCTCTCTCAAATTCAATCCAATCGAACCCAAAACCTCAGCGAAACCGCCGCGATTCTCGGTGAAGAATCGACGGACTCTGGAATCGGCGTCAATGACAGCGTCCTTCTGGTGTAATTCCCTCGAAACGGCTAGTTTCGAGCGGAGAGATTTGAGCCGAGCGATTTCCGATAGAAAATCGTCGGATTCCGGCGGAGTAGGAGTCGCGTACTCCACCGGCGCCGTCGACACGCGCGTAACCTGGTAAGAACAGCGCCGCTCCCTGTACGGAAACTCCGAGAACAAAGAGAGTGTCGAAAACGCAGAAGATGATGACAAAGACGAAGAAGTGGAAGAGGAGGGGAGAGAGACGAGTGGTTTCCTGTGATGGAAACGGGAGAAGGAGGAGGAAGAGGAGGGACAAGAGAAGAAGAAGAGCTTGTGGGAATGGTGATGGAGGAAAGGAGAAGCCTGAGGGGCCATGGCGGAGGAGAGAGGTGAGAGAGAGGAAGGAGGGAGAGGAGGAGAATTTGAAGAGAAGGGGAAGAGGACCCCAAGGAGGGATAAGTGGAGAATACTGAAAGCATATACCTTCCTGAGGACGACGAGATTTTTTTTTTTGGTTCCAAACCAAAAAAAAAACTCTGACGGATTGCTGTGGTCTCATGCGATGTGATCTTCAATCCAACGGCCGAGATTTGCCCGCTTGGATTACACTATTTTATCCGTTTATTTTTTGGCACAATTCACTCATAGTTTTTTTTTTCTGCACGCTTTTCACGGAGTTTTAATATTCCTTTATTATTTAGATGTATGACATTTCTAATACGTAAATTCAAACACATAAAGCCATGTTATTATATTTGATTTAAAAAATTATTCTTGAGATATAATTTTTTAAACCTAAAATAATATAAGAGATATAACACTAGTCAAATATAAAATAAATAAAAATTAAAACTTCGAAATATTTGAACAAAAGTTAAATTCGAAAATACAAATAAAAATAATATAAAATTCTGATCGATATAAATTTTACAAAAGGTTACAAATACTACAGAGATTTGAAATATTAAAACGCCTGGTATTTAGATATTAATATTTGAAAAAGTAAAATGGTGAATCCTTCTACCCAGAAACAAAATACTCAACTGGATAAAATGTTTCCTCTTTCAACTTTATAAATGTGTGTACATTCCGCTTCAAACTTCATAAATATTTCCTCTTTCGTCAACTTTTGCAATTTTTTATTTTTAATTTTCATATTTGTTTAATACAATCATAAGCATAATAATGCCATTTAGGGAGAAAAAGAAGAACAGAGTGATGACTTGGGCTATTCTTGGGTCCATAATTGGGAGATGTGTATGCAATGCGCAAATATATATATATATGTGTGTGTACATATATATAGATATATATATTATCACTAAAATTGCAAAACAATTGATTGATACGATTGCACAAACAAAAAAATGAGTACAACGGTTGCGTACACATTTGGTTTAGAGCTAGATGGATCAAATTTACCTGATTTCCGGTCGTTATATACACTAGTATATATATATATATATATGTACGTGTGTGTGTATATAGGTGCACGTGTATACACACACACACGCAATATGTATACTGAGAACAGCAACAAACAACTTCTTATGGATTTCACTAGCTACAACAAGAGCACTCAAAACTCGTCATCACATTTCTGAAATTACTTACAGTTTTGGTGGGAAAGAGACTCTTCAGGCCGTCGACATGACCTCCAGCTCCGCCCACCAGAGCGGCGACAGTTTCGGGATGGCGTCGTCGGGGGAAATCCCCGTGATCTCTCTCAACCTCGTCACCACATCTCTCATTGCCGGTCTCTCCCTCGGGTCGGTCTCGACACAAGACTTGATCACTTCGCCTATCTTCTCAAACTTCTCACCATCAAAAGATTCGAGCGTCGGATCTGCCATCTCTCTTAGAATCTCTCCCCTCGAGAAACCCGCAAGCCCGCTATCCTCCGAGTCCGAGAGTTTTCCCGTCATCATCTCGATAAGTAGAACTCCGAAGCTGTAAACGTTGTCTTCTAAGGTTGGGACCGAGGCCCGTGAATCGATGAGAGCATTCGCACTATTCTCTTTCGCCGAGGGGCATTGTTGGTTCCCGAAACTAAAGTCTGCGATTTTGACGGCGTAATCCTCGGTGAGGTGAATCGTTGATGAGACGAGGTTGCTGTGGGCGACAGGCAGGTCGAGTTGGTGCATATAGTTGAGGCAATACGCTATGCCCATCGTTATTCTTAGCCGCATTCCCCAGTCCAAGTGTTCGGATTCTTTAACTGCAAAACAAATATAGCCTTCAGTTTAGATCTTGAAGAGAAGGAAAAAAAACAAGCCAACTAAGATTTTCTTTAGGGAGAATTCGATATATATATATACACACACACACACCAATTTGTTAAAATATTATGAAAAAAATACATGAATTTTAAATCTTTCATAAAAAAAAAAATACACCAAAATTAGTCCAATGCTACCAATTTTCTACACCGGGTTAATCCTTGTGCGTAGGAAATCGGCAGTGTTTGACTAATTGGTATATTTTCCTGGTAGATTAGAAATTCATGTATATTTTTGTTTTATAATGTTTTAACAATGTATGGGAGTTTCCCTTTCTCTACGGTGATTATATGTTTCAGTAGACAGTCTTGAGCTTTGTACTTACAGTGTAGATGCTCGAAAAGTGATCCGTTTGGAGCATATTCAAAGACCATGATCCTGGTGAAAGGTTCATCTTCCTCGCAGTACCCAAGAAGGTTTACAAAATTCTTGTGGTTAATCTTCGATAACGTTTCGATCTGAAAATTTACAAAAACGTTAGACGGTAAGGGTTCGGTAAAAACAGAGAAAACAACTATGAATAGAAGGGAACCGGGAAATTGGTTGACCCGAAATACCTTCTTCCTGAACTCCATTTCCACGTTTTCCTTCCAGTCCTTGGCAGACGAAGCAGCAACAGATGCCACAGCTATTTCCACCCCGCTCGATAGTGTCCCTTTGAACAATGTGCCGATGGGGCAGGAGCCGATGACATTACTGAAATCTTCGCATGCAGCTTCGATCTCGGATTTTTTGAGTCTTGGAACACCTGAGTACCAAAATGTGAACCGAAACAAGTAGGGTAGTTAAGCAGCATTCTACAGGCTATAGATAAAACGATTAGCAATCATGAAATGTGGATTTCACAGTAATTAACTTAGTTCATCAACTCCTATTATAAATCCAATAATCAAGCTGATTGGACAAAGGAATCAATGCTGAATATGGGGAGGTCCAATGCAGGCTGAATGCTAGAAACTAAATAGGACTTTTTGACACTGAAACGTCTTTCACAATCATTGTTGTCAGAAATTGAAAATTTCTGAAGCGGACCAAAACTAGAATACATAAGGTTAGCTAAATTTCAATTTCAGAACCAAGAATTCTACTCTATATTGCACCAATGAGGAAGAAATACTCACCAGTTACGAATGCTTTCTGAAGTTGTCCGCTAAGACCTGTACGCCAAGGATTCACAGATTTCCCTGCCTTGCTTCTGAAAAAGAATACACCGGAAGCTAAGAGGATAAGAAAAACAGCAGCACCTATGCAGCCAGCGACTACAGGAATCTTTTTGTCTGAAGAAGATGCAGAACTTCTTGGACTGGAAGAATCTGTTTGGGGGGTTTCTTTTATCTGAGGCACAGAAGGAGATGGAGCAGAAACATCGTCTTTATGGGATTTCGTCCGCACCCTAGGCAATGGAGCAGGTCTTTTAGCAATAGGTGCCGGAGAAGGTGCCGAGGATGCCGGTGGAGCGAGAGTTGCCACGGGACGGTTGTTAGCCAAAGCAGTGTACGGGTTATAGAAACGACCAATTAGTTTCCTGTGAAAACCGGCAGTTCTCCTACGAAATAAACGGAGAAAGAAATCAGGATTGAGCATAGATGGCAAGGAAATGTGCTATCAAGCGGGAAACAAAAAGAAAGATATAAAAAAAATGGTCATGCGATGGGGATTGTCAAAGAAATTTATGCACGTTTCAAGTCGATCAAGTAACCTAAAATCTTGTGTGATTGAAGTCGTAAAATCTCAAGTCAACATAGATCTTAATCAAACTAGCTACTGCGTCGAACATTTCCAAACAAGTACAGTAAAATAACCAAAAGATAAAATGGACATTCAAAGCCGTCAGCGACCAAAAAATCACGGAAAATTCGGAGCTGATACTTACGAATCAGCAGCTACTCCATCTTTCACCGCCCTTTCTTTGCATTTCAGAAGATCTAGCCCTGGAAATCAAAAGAGAAACACAGGAAAAGGAAAATTCCTCAGGAATTTGCTTATGTTTCGCGGCAACCAAGTAGACAAAAGGAAAACAACTCTACCTTCATTGTTCAAGGAAGAACACGAACGGAAGCTCAAAAGCACGAAAAACGCCACAGAGAAACTCATTCGTAACCTTAATCGAACAGATTTCCAGCTCTCATCCATCATGAGACTAAGCAAGCGAGAAGACAGCAAGGGGCGGGAGATGAACACCGAGTCAGAAAACGCGGAAGCTAATTCAAACTGAGTTCGATCTGAATCCGAGATCCGAAATCAGAAGCAGAAGACCAAAAAAAATCAGAGGAAGCTTATGGAGACGAAGAACAGAAGAAGCTCTGAGCTCGCATGGCTTGAGCAGAATCAGATGACTTCTCATTTTTTTTTCTCCTTTTGTTCCTTTTTGAAAACGCGTGTGCCGTGCTTTGGCCGACGGAGAAGAAATAGGCGAAAATCCTATTATTATTATTATTATTATTATTATTATTATTATTATTATTATTATTAGCTAAAAGAAAGAAAATTTAAAAAATAACAGTACTTTGAAATTTCTACAAAATATATAAACTTTTAAAATATTGTAATAAATCTACATCCGCTAAAAATATTTGCAAAACTTTATTTATAATGGTATTCTCGAAGTTTATATATTTTTGTAAATTTTTAAAATCCGTATATTTATACGGTAATTTTTAAGAGAGAATGTTTTTAAACTATTTTCATCAATAATAGATATAAAGTTTATATTAATTGGGTTGCCTAAGATTTAATTCAGAGGTTTGACCGTAAAAAAAAGACAATTAAATGGGTGAAAAAACGTGTCATATTAAAGCTAAATGTTGAATAACTTGAATATGTAAATTAGATAATAGTAACAATTTAATTTAGTGTACAAAGGAGTTAATGGAAATCTGTGGACCATGTCGGACACTTCAAAGACGCAAAAAACGCCAACCCATCGAAAAGGACTCGTGTGTGTGCGCGTTTTTTTTAAATGGATACGACTTTTATCATTAAAAAAAAACGTAGAAAATGGTTTCTATTTTTTTCTCCTACTCTTTTTTTTTTTTAAAAAAAAAGCCGAGTAACAAATTGATATTTTAAATCAAATTGTTTGAATTTTATCTTCAAAAGAATAATTTTTTTATCTAGATTAATCGATCCAATTCTAATATAAATATTTTAAAAATAATATTTATTATTACAAATAAATCCAAATTGAGGCATAATTAATTGAATTTAATTCCTCGAAAAAAATAATCGAATAGCAAAAACGTAATATGCCCTAGGGCTGGGCACAAATACCCGAAAATCGGATATTCGTCTCACGGATACCCGATTTTAGGGTGCTCGTAATTTTCAAATCCAAATCTAAATCCCGATTTTTCAATATCCGTGAATCCGAATCCAAATCCGGATAATATAATTTTTAAAACCGGATACCCACGGGTACCCGACTATTATGATTATAAATAATTATATCTTATATTTATATAATATTTTTATAAAATATAATTATTTTAAATTAAATAATATCATATTTTTTTAATATTAATTAAAAAAATAAATTTATTATTATTTATCCCTTATTATCTCTTTTGTCTCATATATTTTATCATAATTCATCAATTTTTATAAATATATCTTCATTTTTTGAAATTTTTATATATGACTATTGTTGTTTTTCTTAAATAAATTTGGATCCGGATATCCGCGAATACCCGACTATTATTTCGGATACCCGTACTCCGATACTCGTAAATACCAAATTCTAGAAACAAATCTTATAATTAAATACCCGAGTCTTCCAAATCCAAATCCAAATCTCTCAATTTTTTCGGGTATTCGACCCGTGTCCACCCCTAATATGCACTTATAATAAATGTTTTTTATTTTTGGCGAGAACACCAATAAAAATAGAAACTTTATTACTAATAAATAGAGAAGGAATGTGTGGGGCCTTCTTATGGTTGCATGATTAAGTTGAATTATTTTTTTTTTTAATGAGCATCTTTTTTTTGGATGAACCAAAAAAAAAGCGAAGGTGGGGGAACTTGTGACTCTTCAACGTGGGGGTTTGCTTCCTTGTGACTTTCTCCGAGTGGAAATTAATTTTCTCCATGTGGGATGATGGTTATGGGAAAGACCTTTTTTATTGTGTTTTTTTTTTATTTTCTTTATTTCCCCTAATTGTATCTTTTTTTTCCATGATTTCGATTCCATTTAAGCTTGAGATTAAACAACTTACGGATTACACGGTTTTAGTCCAATAATTTCATATATCATTACAGTTTTTTTTTGTTGATTGTTATGTAATTTTATGTATCCGATGGGTTTTAAATTTCAATTGATAGAGGTGTCAATTTTGGTTTGAAGTTCAAAGTTCGATCCGAGCTTAACCGAAAAATATCGGATTTTGGATCTAAATATATCGACTCGAAAAAAAATTAGATTCTTGTGTCGGATTTAAATTGGATTTCGTGTTGATCCTAAAATCCAATTGTTTTTTAAAAAAATTAATAAAAAAAAAGTGTATATAAAAGATTTGAACGGAATCATCCGACCCGATCCGACTCGATCCGAACTCGATATATATAGAGTTGGATTAAATACTTAGTTGTTTAGATCCGAAAAAAATAGGAACGATCCGAATCCGAATTCGACACTCTCGGGTTGAGTACGGGTTCGAACTTTTTCACCCGGACTTCACTCGAACTTTTTCGAATTTAAATCTAAATGTTGGTAAGAATATTCATCCGTTTTTTTTTTTCGTTTTTTTTTAAAGATATAGTTGTACAAAAGTTTAGATAAAATTTTGGATTATAAAAAAAAAAAAAAGGAATGGTGTTATCTAAAAGTTGGAAGTCGTCTCTTCTTGGATCTTTTTGTATTCTTATGATTTTTTTTTTGTAAAATATAATTTGTTCGTCATTTAGGGTTGAGATAAATTACATGATGACACATTGACTACTTCAATTCTCATACCTCTGCAAAGAATCTTCTCTTTTTTTAAAAAAAAAATGTATCAGTCATATGAAAGAGAAGTGTTCATAAGACATGCATGGATAAATGACTTTGGGATTATATATAAATGTGCACCAAACACTTAGTTTTTTTTAAAAGAAAATTAGAACGGTTGCAAAGCTTTATCCGTAATAGATTTCATGTATAGAAACGTCGATGAATATCTAAGATACATATGTTGATTCGATTATTTTTTGAGATATTTTATTTGCATTACTATAATCTTTCTATCAATTTTTTGTTTGATTTAAATTCTATTAATATTTAGAATGGTCTTATTTTGTTAAAAGACGAAATATTTTTATATTTTATTCAAATTTAGTTAATATATTTTATAAAAACCCTAAACTATTCAATTTTATAGATCAGGTAAGAAAGGAGCTATGGGATACTGCAATGTGACTATTGAATCAATATAGATTTTGGAAATTATGGAGAGTTATGGGTAATTATCTATTATAAAAAATATTTTTATTATATAATCCAAAATGGATCGTTTTGCATATTGGGATGAGGATAAATTAGAACTGTATTCAACATTTCTTTGACCAAAATATATTTCCTCTATTGGTACTTAGAGATTATAGGATAGCAGGGGTGGGCAAACGCTTAGGTTAGTAAAAAACCGAATCAAACCCGACCGATATATATTCGAACCGAATCGATTAAAATTAAATAACGGTTTGATTATGATTTTTTGAAATCTAAAATAATCATAAACCGAATAAACCACACTTGAATAAATCGAATATAACTATTTATCCATCTATATATCTATAATTAATATACAATATATTTTAAATCTAATTAGAAAAATTAGTATAATGATATTGTTTTATAATTATAGTATATAACAAAATGATATATGCATTGTTTTATAATATCTGTATATTACGAATGTTTTTTTTTTTAATTTGTAAAAGATAATTGATTGAGTTTTTTATCGATTTTTTATTTGGATAAATTCGAATCGAACCGATTAAAATAATATATCCGAATATAAATATTCTAAATCTGAATTAAACGAATCCAATTAATACGAACCGATCCGATTGCCGATCCCGTAGAATAAGATAAATTTAAATTTTATTATCCTTATTTCTTATAAGGATTAATTCCTTTTAACGAGAGAATCAAGAAAGATTAAAGATATTTTCGTAATTTGTATTTTTAGTAAAATATATTTTCTTTAACAATATTAGAGATATATGTACAGAGAATCCAATAGTAATGGGCTTTAATTAAACAGCATCTTTCCTACTTTGCTTCGTCTACTTGTAATATTCAAAGCCCATCCCTACGGAAGCTTGGATCCTATACCTAATTCGTTCCTTTTACAATTTATTTCCCTGTTTTCCACCGGAGCTACGGCGAAGTCCGTCGCCGGTACGCCGGGAAACACGCCGGACATCTGACGAGACCGTACACGCTGCAAGCCGTACAGCTCTTGAAGCCATACTTTGAGAAGATCTTGTGGCTACCATTGCACAGTTCGCACAAAACGAATCTCTGCCCTCCGCACTCACCGCAGATCCCGGCGTACGTCCCATCCGACGGTTCTAGTTCTCCGATCATCTTCATCAGCTCGTCGCTCTCCTGCATCTGCTTGATCTCCTCCGTTCCGCCGATGTATCTTCCGCCGATGAACACCTTCGGCAGCGACACCTTCTTCGTCCCGAAGATCTCCTGCAGCTCGTCCTGGAATTTCGAATCCATCGACAGATCTCTCTCGTCGATCTGGATCCGGTACCCACGAAGGATGGATCTAACAGTCCTGCACTCCTCGAAGGTCTTTCGTACGATTCGGAGGCTGGTGAAGTAGAGAACCACGCCGCCGTGTCCGGCGTTGGGGATATCCACGGCGGAGAAGATACCGGACGAGACGGCGGCGGCGCGTGGGCTGTACACGCTGGAGCTCCGAGCGCGGTGGAGAAGTGACGGGCGTCGCGGGGAATCAGGTAGAGAAATGGGATCTTCGTTGAGGAGATCCTGAATGTCTTTGAAGGAAGTGCAGGAGTAATGCTTCGGATATCTCGAAGAGTCCTCCGCCGGGCCGTATTGATGCCGCCGATGCGGCCGCATCCACGCAGTTAACATCGGGAAAAGAGAAATTGCGGCGTAGATCGCCGGAAATTTCTACAGGGTGCGGAGGTGGAGAGGGTCGGTAACTGAGAGGAGGCAGTAAAACAAAAAATAAAAAAATATTGGGAAACTTTTTTTTCTCGATATTGGGAAAATCACTTGATATTTATATAAAAATACGAAGGGAGAAAACCACGAGTCATAAAAAAAAAAGCCAATGGAAAAACAGTGGGACATAATCACTTTGGTAGAATTGTATCCCGGTCAAAACCTTGTCCCAATCATTTCGGTCGAATATAGAATATATATAATTTACAGATATTACAAAAACATAATTATATTAGAAAATATTTCATGATTTTCATAAAATATTTAAACCATCAATAATTAAATCAAAGGCCCTATAACATATTGTAGTAGGTGGACTACTTCGGTTTGGATAATTCGGTCTAAAATTTTATATCATTCGATTATTATAATGTGTTTTGGTTTGATTTTGATTCGGTTAGGAAAAATTATTAATTTAAAAAATTACTCTTTTAGTTTTTTTTTGGATTTTTTAATATTTGGTTCATTTTCGATTTATTCGATCTTCTAAAAATACAGTTATTTAAAAAAAATAACAGTTCAATTCAAAAATGATATTGATTATTTTTTTTCCGGTTCGCCCGGTTAGGATGGGAAGCAAGTTGGCCTCTTTTTTTTTTTTTTTTTTTTGTAGTTTACACATAAAGAAACTTATATATCGGAAACACTTATTTTCCTATTATACCCTCAGATTATAATGTGGTATAAAATTTTATTTTTCTATTTTCGATTCTGATTATGTTTGACCATTCTGGATTTTTTTGCCCTTGTTAGAAAATTATACCAATTTAAATGTTATTTTATATTCGGTTTCATTTTAATTTGGATTTGATTTTATCCTTAAAAATACTTATCTTTTAAAAATAACTTTTGTTTTTCTAATTTTTATATTTGATTAGAAATTAATTTATTCTTTAAAAAATTATATATGTTCAATTTTTATATTTGATGCAGTTTGACTATGTGTCATAAAATTCGGTTTCAACTAAACGAACAAAACTATCCACCATTACAAAAAAAAAAATCAATCAACATAATTCAGTCAAAAGTCAAAACCGTTAAGTGTATTTTAAGAAGAAAAGAAATTCAAAAACAAAATGTATAAACTTTTATTAAGGTATCAATCAGGCCAACCCAATCTGATCCGACATGAATTTGCATTGGGTCTGAGGGTTTTGGATTCAAGTTTATATCGACCTGATTTTTTTAGGCCTATATAACCATAACCAGTCGCAAACTCTATTTTATAGACTTTGAACACGAATCAGATTGGATCAAATTGAATTAGTCCGAACAATTTCTTTATAAATCTAAGATTTTTTTTTTCACTCAAAAAACTTAGGTCCAAAATTCGATATTTTTTGAATGGATTCGGGCCGAACTTTGGACCTAATTTGACACCAACTTTGACGACCCTTTAAAAAAATATAATTGGATCGAAATTGGATAAATTTTACATTATCAAAAGAGAAAATATCCCATCGATATGGTTGATGGGATAGTTAGTTACCATTGAATTGCAAGGAGCGTCTTTCTGTTTGTTTCTCGGGAAAGTTGTGGTCCCCACTCCCAGGAGCTGAGCTGTGGTTTTGAAGGCGAATTGGCAGATTCTTTTGGCTAAGAGACTGCCATGAATGCCAAGGCACTGGAAAGATAACTAACCTCTTCTAAATCGTTGCAGTCTCGGTTAAAATACACACACACAAAAAAAGATAAAGCTATAACAGCGCCCACCGTGGGGCTCGAACCCACGACCACAAGGTTAAGAGCCTTGCGCTCTACCAACTGAGCTAGACGGGCAGTTGTCGGTTAGCAGAAGATCATTTTATTTAATTTCTAATATTAATTCAAATTGAAATACAATTACGTGTATTTAATTAAATTAAATTATGACATCCAAAAATAACTTTCCGAATACTCAAGAGGCAAATTGACAAATGCACGTTATATGATTAACACATGCGGTTCTCTCCTCGCTAATTTTAAGCTTGACTAAACATTTCAGGCCATATTCTATAACGTGCGCTTGAAAATAAATCATCCAAAATGTAAGATTGACGTCCCAAAGATCCGCAATTTTTCCTCAGAAACACATCTTCAAAGTTGCTGAAGTCTAAAACTCGAAATTATAATAATCCGAGATTTAAAAAAAAACACTTTTTTAAGGAATCCAAACAGGAGACATACAAGGCCCCCAAACGCATCATCAAGCGGCGGCGGCTTGCTCTTCTTGAAGCATTTGATCAAAATGCCAAGTTCCTGAAGGACCCACCAAGACATTTCGGATTATAAATTTAATCGGACCAAGCATAATGTCGAAGAAGTGACGATATCATAGATGTTTTTATAATGAAGTAGTTATATATATATATATATATATATAAAAGATTCGGGTACCGTGTCCTTTGCCGAGTCTTCTGAGTTGAGCAACATACTCTGAGATCTTCTTAATGGCTTCGACCTGCAAGTGGGTTTATTTAAATTCTTTTGATAATGAGGAAATGGTTACAAGTTAAGACAGCTTGGATCGGATCCTAGCATGTCTCTGCCACTACTATACCATAAAAAACCAACATTAGGCGGCATTACCTGCTCGCCCAGAAACTCGCTCTCGATGAAATCAGCCAACTGGACATCGTCCTTCTTCGACGCCACCTGTTTTACCAAATTTATCATGAATAAGTTCAAGCTTCAATAACTTGATGAAGAAAACCATTATTGGAGGGAGAGTAATGCTTTCAAGCTGTGGATGTTAAACTATAGTATACTCTCTCCTAGATTCATAGAGTGGAAGTCCATAACTTGTTGGAAGCTTCAATGTCAGGGAATGGAACAAAGGAGAGTTGGGTCTTACGCTGTGCACGTTTAGGAGCTTTTCATTTGTTAGTTTCTCCAGAGACAGAGCCAACTCCATAGCTGAACCCAAAGAAGCAGCAGTTATAGATTTCAGTAACAACACAACGTAGACAGAAGAGTATTTCTCTTGGCATAGATTTCCTCATGCGTCGTCTTTGAAGCGAATTTACATTCGAGAATCTCAGTCAAGTTTCCTACTCATTCACTTCTGATGAAAAACTTTGGATCTCTAGAACTAGAGTGAGCTTACCATACAAAGCATCTCCTTTCTCCACATGATCGAATTCTGAAAGGGGCATCACAATCGACTGCAACTTGACTCTCCCGCCACGTTTGTTCTGCAGATCATGAAAAGCGAACATGAGATCATGTCACAATGGCACAGAAGGCAATCGTTCGCTAGGGATTCTCCCAGAACCTGATACTCCATCAACTTCTCGGCATGCTCTCTCTCCTCTTCACTCGATTCCTTGAAAAACCTGTCAGCGACCAACTGATTATAACCAGCCAAAATCGACATTATAAGGAATTCACACTCTGAAACCTTCAGCGTCTCGCAGAAACTCACTTGGCGAGACCCTTAAGCGCAACGTTGTCCCGATCGAAGTAGGCGTACATGGCGTGGTACACATAAGAGACGTTGTATTCAACGCTGCAGTAAGAATCATCACAGAAACCAACCAAAACTTCACTATCCAACCAACATACAACACGAATCTTCCGGATTATCAAAAAAAAAAATATTACAACACGAATCTCTCGCCCATAACAATCAATACGATGAAATGCAGATTTAGAAACCTTGAAGAGCATGGATACAGAAAAAGAAACGAGAAAACCCTACTTGATCTGCTCATTTACGGCGGCTTCACACTCGTCGGAGTACTTCTGCCGAGCGAGCGAGAGCTGAGGAACGGTGGGGACGAGATCGAGCTCCTTCTTCACCTCCTCGAACGGTTCGAAAACGACGCCAGCCAATGTGCGAGTAGTGGAGCCCTTGGAAGCGCGAACGACAAACGACTGGTTCAAGGATCTTCCAGAAGAAATCCGAAGATTCGACGAGAAACCAGTGGCGGACGAAATGGAGGAGAGCAAAGGAGAGATATCCTTCTTTTCTCCATGGATGTTGAGTGAGAAAGCAGAAGCGGCCTTGAGAAGCATTTTCTCGTTCTCTGAATGAAATTTTCCCGAGAAGCAGTGGAAAGTTTTCCAGGCCGAGAAAATGGGAGGAATCAAAGAGGGTTTTACTTTTTAGTGGAAGGCGAGTGGTGGCGGTGGTCGAGGAGGAAAACGAAAGGGGGCAGGGATGGATGATGATGCGATGGATGGCCGACACGTGGACGGCTAAGAATGTAAAGATAGGTACAGGCGCGTGGCAGGCACGTTATATAACAACCATCTTCGTGGATATTCGTGTATTCGTTTGGGATATGAATTTCATTTCAAATTTTGCCTTTTCTCTGTTTTCTTTTTTAGAATAATATGCACTTTGAGTTTGGTTTTTTCTTAGAATTTGAAAAAATAAATAAAATCATTTATTTTTTTATTAGAATACGGTTAGTTTTTTTTATTTCGATTCGAATTTAATTTTTATTAATCAAAACATTTATCTAAAAAAATTAATCTGAATCTTATTTCGGTGTTCTGACTACCAATTTCAAATTAGTTTCAACAGAAATTATATTCCTAATAAACAATAAAAAAATATAAACGAAACAAAAAAAATTATGGATTAAAAAAGAACTTTATTATTTAATTTGAATCGAAATTGATCCCAAAACGAATTAAGTTTTTTTTTTCGTATTGGGTTGAATTTTTTCTTAATTGATGAAACCTTTTGTTTTACAAATTTTAATAGTTGCAAACAAAATCATTTAATACAGATTCAATAACAATAAATGTGGCGGATCTTTTCAAAATCCCATCCAATGAGATTTTTCACTTATCTCATTATTTCTGATTTTATTTTCATCTTTAACATTAATTACCATTCTATCACACACACATATATATATATATATATATATTTGCGTAATTAAAAAATTCGTATTTATCAATTTAACGAAAATATATATAAAAATAAGATAATTTCGCAGAGCAATCGTAAATTGCGGAGGTCTTTGGATTGATTCATGATAATCCATGAAAGGTTAAAAAAAAAACCATTGCATAGTAAAATTTTGATTCCGATCTCACACTTTCTAAAAAAAAATAAATGATAAAACATACGAAAAATTAAACTCCATTAAGAAAAAAAATGTGTTTCTGTTACGTAATTCGAATGCAAAGTATAGTCTAATTAATTAATCTCTAACGAAAAATTCTACTAGAAAATTTAGTATGGAAACTGTTGCTCGTACGGACAGAAGTGGCGCTCGTGAATTCCTCCAGTGAAGTTATGCATCCGACGTCGATTACTTCCACAGATGGATACTCTAAGCTCGCGTCCACAGCACTCTCCCTGCACTTCTCGTAGAACCCGCGGAGATCTCGATACTGTTGAGAAGCCGCCCTCAGAATCCCGCAAGCTCGGGTTCTTTCGGGTTCGGATAGGTCAAAGAACACGGTGAACAGATTCTTCAACTCGTCGGTATACGTCTCGTAAATCTTGAAACTTTCTTCCAAGACAGTCCGGAGAGCTGCCAGGACGAGGTTGTCTATAGGCTTGACGTTCACCGGAGCGCAAGCCAAGACCTTTTCTACGAACCATTGGCACTTTGTTAAGACGTGGAAAGCCGCCGGTTCAACACCGGATTCTGATCGGTTCACGACAGGTTCAAGCCTGTGGTCTGACTGGTTCAGGGTCCACCCGGCTCTCTCCTTCAGAAGAGCTGCATAGTTCCGTAGAAAAACGGAGGATGGATCCTCGTTCTTCATGAACCAGAAGCGATCCAGCTGAAGGCTGTCAACAGCGCGTGCCATATGCATCCGTCTGTCAAAGCGGAGGATTCTGTGAATGAGCAAAAGGGCTTTCAGGGCCACTCGACGGTTCTTCGTCTTCTCCAGACGCCGAGAAATACAGTCCACGAGAGAAGGGACCGATGATTCTGGTTGCAGACAGACATGGATGAGTAAACGCTCCATCGATACATCATCCATCCGGCTCTGGTGATGTCTGGTGGCTCGAATCAGCGTGGCTTCGATGTCACAAGAAACGCTGTTGTTGCCGGAACTTTGTAGGAAAAGGGATGAAAAGTCCCTGAAAAGGCCAACGAATCGAGCCATATCGATATTTGCGAAAGCAAATATGTCGAAGGATTTAGGGTTTTGCAAGATGTAAAAGAAATCGAAGTAGGAGTGCATGTATAAGGGGTGCATGTATATATATATATATATAGATAGGGAGAGAGAGAGAGATGATAATTATAAAATCTCAAAAGGATTTGGAGAAGTAGGATTCTGATAAATCCTAAATGAAACGTGAAAAAGCACAATCCCATGAAAACAGGAGAACGATTTCTCCTCCCCGTGCCGTAAGCAACAAGGTAACAGTGGCTTGGGCCTGTAAGTCAAAATTGTTAGCCCATTTAATCAAAATTCGGCCCAAGCCCACAAACATGATCCCATGTCTTTCACCATCTTCAATTTAACGAAATTCTTAGAAAAAAAAAAAAAGACGGGTTCTCAGTGTTTAGGGCAATTGTAAGGTGTGGAAGCTTGCACACATATATATATATATATATGTGTGTGTGTGTGTGTGTGTGTGTGTGAAACTGAAAGGGCCAATAGAAATAGAGATGAACTAGAGAGGGAATTGATAAAAATAAAAAATAAAACTGAATTAATTTCAAATAAACCGAACATCGGACCGGTCTACAAATAAGCGAATCAAGCTTAATATATCCATGTATAAATGATAGAATTTAATGGACAGACGTAAAAAAATATAATCAAAATAAACCCACACGGCAAATGTCATAGAGATGTTAAAAATATTCACAAGTAAAGTTACAAAATGATGAGGGTTTAATTATGTCAAATTACACAATTGAGCAAAAGAGGGAAAACTAAGAGTCCACATTGCCAACTTGCATGCATTTCCTCCCTTACACAACAAATATTTTGCATTAAATATCCTACGTAATTCACAACAATACATGGATTTCATAACATATTAAAGCATGCACAATACGTAATGAATCAAACACTCATCCATAAACTATAGAAAGTGTCAATACATCAAATGTATCTAAGTAAAACTCGCATAACAGTACATCATAGAGCACTAAACCAACATTTCTAGTTTTGAATGTGGATGATATATTATTCATATGGAACAACATTCCTATCTTTCAAGACTTTAAATCTTGGCTAGAAACACAATTTTCTATGAAAGACTTAGGAGAAGCGGCCTATAATTTGGGCATCAAAACCTATAAGGACGTTTGACGTATTCAAAGCACGCAACTCCTCATGTTGGATTCCGTAGATATCTCAGGTCTTAGGATCCAATCATGGAACCGCCATATGAGATTCAAGTCATGACGCTAGTCCATGTGACAATCTCATGCGGGTCATCCAGTATTCCGCCTTTCTTTGAAAAAACAATGAATCCTTTTCAATTGAATTATAATAAATTAAATTAATACGTTTGAATCTGAATATCAATTTTCCAAAAAAAAACTTTAAACGTAATTATACTAGGAGTTTGAATCTGAATATATATATAGATTAATGGAATCTAAATTTATATTTATTTAGTAATTTGAATGTATGCATAATAACAAATTCAATTTACCAATTTCATACATCTAATTTAAATTTATTTCAACAAATCTTTTAGACCTCATTAACTTCAAATCTTAATGAAAAACACTATATATATGCTTGCATCTCTTTCGTAGTTTTCTACCATTCCCTTAACAAACACAATATTTTCAAATAGCAAGGTTTGTTCTCTTTATATTTTTATATTCTACATAATATTATTAAATTTCCATCTCTCTCTATATATGCATGCTCGCTCTTATACATACGTTTTATTATGTATATAAAAATAGAGTTATATATATATATAGTCAGATTTACACGTATTTATATTTTTAGATTTTTCATGATTTTAATTTTCATCACAATAATCAGCAATCAAACATGTCAATTTATTAGTGTTAGCAATTTTTAAAATCTTACTATACATAACCTTTCATAGTTGTGCGCCAGACTTTTTTTAGATAATCAGAACAGTTGCAAGTATGAGGGTTGTTGGTCATTCTGATCAAAAAGTGGATGTCAAACTTGGACACAAGGTATTTTTTTATTTTAATTTTCACATTATTTAGATATCTTCTTTCGAATATCATTGTGATTTACTGATCATTATTTAACATATTTCCATTATTATCATTAGTTATATTAAAGTTTTTATCATAAATATGAATAGTAATCAATATTGTTTCATAAATTTATATCACTGAATTAAAATAATCAAGTTTTTGCAGTTGTGGCTTTGAAAAAAAATATTATTATTTACTTGAAAAAAATTATCCGTAGCAATGATTACAAATTATAATACAAATTCGTTATGTTTCTGTTTAATTACTTTGAAGTTTTTTCCCTTCGATTTTATAAAAACTATATTTTGGTTCTCTTCATATTTCCCTAAGTAAACTTTTATAAAAAATTAGGATTTAAATTTTCACCATTTTATCAGATTTAGATATTTTATTTTTACTATGTTTTGGTTTTTTCTCTATCTCATCCAAAGAAGTATAATAAATTAAATTAATTTATCTAGAATTACTCCTTTCGTATATAATTATAAATATTGTTTGAATTTGAATAATTTAATTTTTTAAAAAGTATAATTGTTCTCCGGGAAAGAGGCATGTTGAGAAAAAAATACTGTCCTATTATTTTTTTAAATGAATCCTTTCATATCAAATGAAGTATAATAAATTAAATTAAAACAAATATTGTTTGAATCTGAATATTATGAAAATTTTGAAAATATAAAAAAAGTTTAAATGTAATTACAATGGAAGCTTAAATCTAGATGAATATATAAATTAATTGAATCTAAAATTTAATTTATTTAGTAATTTGAATATATACATAATAACATATTCAATTTATCAATTTGATACATGTACTTTAAATTTATTTAAACATATCTTTTAGATCTCATTAACTTCAATTCTTAACGAAAAACTCTATATATATTCTTGCATCTCTTTCATAGTTTTCTATCTTTTCCTTAACAAAAACAATATTTTCAAATCTTAGATTTGTTCTCATTATATTTTTATCTTCTGCATAACATTTGTTAAATCTCCATCTCTCTCTCTCTATATATATGCATGCATACACATATCTTATACACACGTTTGCTTTTTTTTTTTTAATTTGGTTTATTTTTCGTTTAGTATTACCTTTTCTTATCTCCGATTCATTATATTTCTATTTTTTTGGTTTTTAGATAACATTACTAAATCGCAATCTCTATACACTTTAACGTTAAATGAAACATGAATTATCACTCTTAAAATATAATGATTGTATAACAACAGAAAACATAAAATTAGAGACATTATGATCCTAATATAGGTCCACTCGCATTGTTCATACATATATATATATGTGCATGTATTTATGAACTGTATAAGAATATATATATATATATATATATGCATGCATTTATAAACACTCGAATAAATTCTCTATATATATATATAT